ATATATATATATATATATTTTAAACTATTAAATATTAAATTAAATAATTATTTTATAATAAATTTATTAAAAAATATAAATATTTTAAGATTCAGACGCTATTTCGAAACGTGTAGCAACTCTTTTTTTTAACTTTGGAGACAGATTCAGAAGCTAAATGGATAAACTCTTTCTTCTTCTTTTTTTGTTTAAAGATACTTTACATGAGAATCAAATCAAAAACTTCTTTCTAAAGTATCATGTTATACCTTAGTTTTACTAAGTCAGATGCATCCCTTTGGATCCAAGAGTTGAATTAGATCCTAATTTTGATTTAAGTTATAGATGACATGTTCAGTCCCACTAATTCCCCAGCTTAAAATACATTTTTAACGAGATTGAATATAATAAATTAGACATGATGTATTTTAAATATGAGATTATGTATGTGACCCGTTCTAATTTTATCCGATATCATATTTTAATAATTTTTAAATAATTGTATATTAATAATATAGTTTGTTTAATTAACAAATATTTGACATGATATTATATTTATATTGATATATCTAAAAATATAATTTAATTATAAAATTATTAATTTTTTTACTTTTACAATTTAATTGCGTGTAAGGTTAAAATAAATATATTATATTCACAGGTTGTATTCACTCAATCTCACCCTCATATTAATTGGATTTTAATCGGGCGGTTCATATTCACAAAATTAATCCTATAAAAATTTCAGACAAGGTAACTACTGTTATGTGAGGTACTGGTTAACCCTTTGGTTGGTTCAATAGAAAACAAAAAGAGAGAAGTGACAATTGAGTGAGAAAAAAAAAAAAAAAAACTTTTACGTTGTTTGTTTAAAGAGAAAAATAGGAAAAAGAGAAATAAATTGTATGAAATTCACTAAAAGAATCTCTTATAATATGAGAAGAAAAAGGGGAGAAATTTTTTTAAAAAATGTGGAATATAAACAAAATTACAATTCTAACTTTATTATTATTTCTTTGCACTTCATGAGTTACAAATTTTTCTTTTTAAAAGATTTTTTTGTTTTTTATCGAACCAAATAAATAAAAATAAATTTGAATTTAATTTTCTCCTTTACTTCTTTGAATTTAAATGTCTTATTAAATGATTATTATTTTTTATTCATTATCTCTTGTCGACCTCTTTTTATCTTTCTTTCCCACTTCCCTTATTATATGAACAAAGTCCAAAATCAAAATCTAACTTGAATTAATTGAAGGTGGACTAGGCTTCTCGTATGTTCCAATGGAAAAGTATAAGAACACGTGTTATGGTGTAAATTCTCCAACACAACACAATCTATTGGGGTGGACTTCAATTAATGTCAAATCAGTACACTGAAGTGAACAAGGAAAGTGCATATGTGGGACCCAGCATGATGTGTTTAGATAATATTTCTAAAATTAATTTCAATACATTTTTGGGTTAAATTAATTTTAAAATAAAGTCATTTTTTATTTAAATATTTTGTCTTAAAATGATTTTGATGTAAAATTCAGTGTAAGCTTGGTTTCTTGATGAACAATAACAAATTATATTCACAGCTTTTATTCAATCATATTTTCGTCCGTGAATAATTAGAATATAACTTCTTAATAATTTGATTTCATGTTAATAAATATAACTTCATAAATCTTTTTAAATAGCTGGGTATTGCTATCATGTATCAACATTTGTGCAACACACCATTTCTCTTTCTATATGGAGTTGAAAAATATTGAACATGTGATAGCTTGAGACAAAAATATAGCAATTCAAGCATTTGAAAAAATGTTCATTTTTACTTAAGTTAAAAAAATTACATAAGGAAATCATATTATAACCTAAAGTTAAATAATTATCTTCCCATAAACAGGATATAACAAATTGAATGACAAACTAGCCTCTTACACTAATTATTTTAAAGGTAAAATAACGTAAATTGTTTTTTCTCAAAACTATATCCTTTTGATATTTTATAAGTTCACTTTTTTAAATTATCTTTCTTTTTCATGTTCGAATTTCGATGTGAGTCAGAAGATGAGCAACCATCTCAATCAAAGAGATATATAATTGAACTAATTAAAAAACACACAATTTAATAAATAAACTACCACATCATATATCTTAATTTAAACAAAAGATTGCCTGATACATTAAGCATGAGTCACATGAATTCAATAACTCAAGTCAAGATGTTTTGGTAGGTGTTGATATAAAAAGGAATCAAATCAAATTTATATAAAAGGTCTCTGCTGGATTACGTTTTTCCATAAATTCATTTTTAAATAATTAGAGAAATTTAATACAAAAATGTTTCTTCAACTGCATAAATTTTTCCATGTATCATTTAATATTTATATTTTTAATTAAAGATTGAAATTAAATTTCTAATTTGAACATAAATGTAAAATCAGACTAAAAATATTACTTTTATTTTTATTAAAACTAATCCAGTGAAAAAAAATTATCCATCATTATCAAACCATCTAAATAAATTTTTTCATATAAATTAAATTCAACAGCAAAACACATAAGGTTTGAATTATTGATTAGCACCAACAAATTCATAAACAGAATAAGTACTGTCTTTTCTTTCATGAAACAACATTATAATAATAATAAGCTTAGAAAAATAACAGAATCACATTTATTATGAGCCTATCTAAATCTGCATCAAATCCTGGAAAATCTTCATGACAGGAGCTGGCAAACCAAGAAGCACATTGATGTTTCTCCTCTCTTGGCCATGAGAAAGGAACAAGATGACTTCCTTTTCTGGCAGTGACACTGGCCCTGACAGCACAGGCTGTCCCCATCCAAAGTCAGTGGTGTGAAAGGAGAGCCTAGACCAAGTTGTGATCAAAAGTGTGCAAGCAAGAGAAGGCCTTGCTCTTGTCACCTCAAAGTAATCTATAGCTGATCTCATGTAACTATCTGTGACCATCTTGATTGCCTCTTGAATGAGGCTCACAGCATATGAGAGAGGCTTTTCTGTTAACTCACCAGCATGGCACACAGAATTTGTTAGCACAATGCCATTGCCACAGTACCCTCTTGGAAGAGGAGGCTCAAACTTGGCCCTTCCATCCACAGCAAAGAGAAGCTTTGTTTCTTGCTCTGGCAGCATCTTCAGTGCCTTTGTTCTTGCTATCCACACAAATGCTGAGAGGACTTCAAATGTGGTGCATGTGTCCAGGGTTTCATCTTCCATGGCTTTCATCTTAAGGTTCTTTAGTCTCTCAGGGTCAAAGCAGAAGGACCTGTACACCATCTCATCTTCATATAAGTTGATGGTGTTGGACTTGTCTTCAATGTCAGCAAACTCTTGATGCAGGTGCTCTATCTTTGGGGGGTTTCTTGCCTTGAGGATGCTTCTGTCTAGCACTGGAGGGGTTGAGAGTGGCATGTCTCTGGCTAGTTCTCCCCAAGAGTTCACAAACTCCATGGCACCAATGCCATCAAACATGCAGTGATTCATGCACAGACCAAGAGCAAAGCCTCCACATTTGAACTTGGTCACCTGGAATATAGAGTTCACACTTAAAAAAAATGCAATACCCAATCAATGTGAGGGGCCACCTTTTCAATCATTTTCATCCTTCTTGGTAAAGGAGGAACATGTGGAACTTATAACTACTGGCTTCTTAGTACATGTTTGGTTCCACAACTATGGTTCAAGTTTAAACAAGAATAACATCAAAATTGCTTCATAGTGCATATTTGATTCTACAACTATGATTTACCTTTAAACAGAAATCACATCAAAATTGATACAAAGGCTACTAATCGTTACTTTTCTCTTAACTGCATTTATAACCAAAATTGAATTGAATCCGAACATACTTTTAGTAAATGTGAAAAAATGCATATGAAATGTGGAACCAAGCACAATAGGAATTGATTGTTTACCACAAGTATGGGAAAAAGGAGAAATGATTTAGAGATGGTGTGATGTTAGAGTACTAACACAGAAATAGCAACTATACTACTCTAGGACTTGCAAAATGAATAAGCTGGCTATTCTTAGCATGAAAAGGTAAAGTTGTACTGTTTTCATAAGCATTAACAACCCAAGCACAATTTTAGTCAGGGAATAGTAGCACCCCTTTAGATTAGAAAAAGAAAATGTACGCTAACCTTTGATTAGACATTCAAAATAACCGACATGTTTCATTCATAAAAATTCCTACCAAGTGATTGATAAATGCTAAATAACATATCTCTAGAGTAGTCTCTACATTTGTGGACTAAACTATTTGCTTATAAACAACACCTCATGGTTTTGTAGCCAAAACTAAACCAACTCCTGAGGAACTCAAAAGCCAAGATACAAGACACAACAACAACAACAACAAAACTTACCTGAGCAACCAAAGGAGGCATCTGAAGAATGTGCTTTGCTCCAGGAATGTCATAAACCAGCTTACCAAGAGTCCTAGGGTCTGGCTTTGTGATGTCACCAATCTCCTCCATTGAACAGTTTGCTTCAGCCTCCACAAACAAGGCACCCTCCCCTGTGCAATCCACTATGAGTTTACCCTCTGAGCTTATGGTGAGCCTCCCAGCAAGAGGGTAATAATGGACAAGAACCTTCTTCAAAGCATTCTTGATCACTTCCCCAGCCTTCTCATTCCCTCTCTCGCCCCTCTTGAAGCAATAAACAGTTCTCACGATCACTGCAATGTTCTGGTCAAGGTTTGATAGGAAATACAAACCCTTCTTTGTTTCTTCAGCA